TGATGTGGAAATGGAACTAAACCAGTTACACAACTAAGAATTGTCATTTAATCTATTTCTAAATGAGTAGTTTCAATTGTAACATCATTTATAGTTAATGCAATAAATGCATTATCAGATTCATTAACATCTAAATATTCTATCTTCCCATTTTTTACATAATTAGAAAATACTGTTTTTGCATCATTCTACTTGAAATCAATCATGTCAATTTAAGTTAATTAAGGTTTACCATCTTTTACAAGAATCAATGGTCTAACTAATCTACCACTATCACCAGATATATTTACAACTTTCCTTAAATCATCTTTATGTATTGAAACAAATTCATTAATCTTACCTCTCCTTCTTAATATTCTTAATTAATCAACAAAAGTTTAAGGTCTAGCATGCATTCCCACTATAATACCATTTAAATAAACAATATAATTCTTATGAAATTCACTTGGTTTAAAATGACATATATCTTCTACTCCCATAGTTAATATAATTTTATAAACACTATCTTATATATCTTCTTAAGTTATATGTGTTAATAATGCTAAAGTCTTAACTAAACCACAATCTTCACCATCAGGAGTATCTGCAGGACAAATCATTCCAAATTAAGATCCAACTAAAGCTCTTGGTCCACTAACTTTAAGTGTCTTTTAGACTTAACTTCTCATTTTAGTTAACATACCAAGAGCAGATGTATATGATATTCTAGCTAATAATTATGTAACTCCTTATCTATCCATATGAAATCTTTGAATAGTCCATTTTCCTGTTTTAATTGCTCTATTTAATCCTTTAGTGATATCTACTCCAAATTCTTTCATTTTCATAGTAACATCTTTAGGAGTGAATTTACAATTAGCTTTACCTAATTCCTTTTTGAGTATACTAGATATAGTTGAATTTAATCCTTTAAATAAATCTTCAAATAATAATTCAAGAAGATTTCCTGCACATCTCATTCTTTTATTTCCATAATAATCTTTATCATCAACAAATCTTTTATCTTCCATTGCTAATATTAATCTTCTAACCATTTATCCTAAATATATAGCTTTAGGATAGAAATCATATTTTTTGCAATTGACATGTGCTAAAAAGACTTATGCTAATTTCTCTCTTGCTTATTCTGCTTAATTAGATGATTGACCACCAAATTTACTAGTTATTAATTTTCCAATATATTATAATGCATCTTATTATGTTTTAACTTTTTCATCTGATGTATCCTAAAAACTCATTAATAATTTCTCTACTATACTTGGTTCAGTTCCAATTAATTCAATAATTTCTTTATCATTAACAATACCTAATGCTTTAAATACAATAAAAAGAGGAGCATCTTTAAAACTTGAAGATTTCACATAAAATTTATTCTTTTTTAAAATTATTGATGCTTTTGATTTAGTTTCTAATTGATAAGATTGAACTGTAGACACATACTAATCTGTCTTATTATCAACATCAACAATAATTCTATTATCAACAATCTATTCTAATATAAGAATAACCTTCTCATTGCCTTCAATAATAAAATATCCTAAAAATCTAAATAATTCTATTCTTACCTTTTGGATCATATGGACATTCTCCATATTAGAAAATCTCTTATTCAGTTTTACCTGATAAATTACATTTCTTTGATCCCAACATTATTGGCATACGTCCAATTAATACATTCTTTTCTTCAATTGGCTCTCTACCCTTCATATGAATACGCACATTAACACTATTTAAAATTGTAAAAATGTCTTACTAGATATCTCCTGCATATGTCTAATCATTCAATCTACATTCATGTGGATATAAAGGACTTTTTAAAGAATACTTATCCCAACTGCTAGTGAATGTTGGATTTTCCACTCTGATTGATAAATACCTATAAGATTATGATGTGTATTATTATACTCTAAAAGAAAGGATGAATCACTTTCACAAGTAATTCTCTAATTTAAAGGAGATTTCACTATTTATTCTAACCGTTATTCTATAAAGTAATTGAAAGAATCAATATGTTGTTTTTGTAATCCACGAAAAGATAGATAAGAAGTGATTAGTTTATCTTTCTCTTAAATCATTAATATTATTAATTATGGGTGACAATAATTTTAACAATACAGAAGGTATGTATTTATTGAAAAACCCTGCCTACAGAAGATATGTCCTCTGAAGAATCTGTTATGCAAACTATTCTAAATGTATTATAATTTGTAATCATAGAAATTCAATTCATTACTCAATAACAAATTATAGATATATAAGTGGTTCCATAAGGGAATAAATTAATAATGTAATCTCATATTAATATATCTTGATAATGAATTCAAAGAAATGACAGATAATACGTTAATGGGACTAAAATGGCATTAATATTTCATCTATCATCCTAATTTAATTTATGTTCATCAGAAATGTCAATTAAGTAGTTTTCCTTCTTAGTTGTGCTTATTTCAACTTTTATATTATCCAATCCATTAAGATTGAAGATAAACTACTCAAGTTAGGATTATAAAACATTCTTGCAGGATAAAAAGTTAGAAATCTTTATAGATTTTATTTTAAAGATCATGTATTTATTAAAGAGATGACAAATAAATGTTAACTTTATACATAAGGTGTTGAAATTAAAAAAATAAATTTATTCTTGAAATGAAGTGATGTTGACTATTCTCGTGCCTTTATATTTTGACTTCATTTATAAAGATGGTAGAATTAGCCAATTTATTTACGACCACTCAAAAGGCATTCCATATTGATAACTCAATATGAAATTCCTCGAATCGATCTACATTCATTCATTTTTGTTCTATATTTATATATTTTATAATGTGACATCATTCTATTATGGTTTATATTTATAATGTCTAATAAAGTCTTACTTGCAGATTACAATAATCATGGACAACAATAATTTGAATATCCTGAACAAGATGTTTATTACACAGGTATATAACTATATATCTATTATTCTAGGTCGTAAATTGAATCAAGATTTGAAACATGGTCCTATTGAATAAAGAGGATGCCAAGATATCATATGTGTAATACTCTATTTATCAGTTTGGGCATTAATGATATTTTGTGCAATAAAGTCATGGGATACAGGAGATGCTTCCAAAATATATTTGCCATATGATAGTGTAAACTAAAGATATAATAATAATAGTAATAAAGACAATGTGGAAAAGGTGATCTCAAAAGCTACCCAAATATATACATTATCACTTAATCAGAATCATATTGTGTTTCAGATTGTCCTGGAGAAAGTGGAGTTGGTAAAGAACTTCCTTGTTATTAATGTTCTGCATAAACAGCACCTTATGCCAGTGCTTAATTACTTACTTTGTGCTTTCCTACTCTAAAAGTAGATGAGAAATATTAAGAATTGATAAGCAATCTTGTAGATATAAGTGGATTTTAAAGACATTATGCAGACCTTGAAGAAACATGGCCAATAATTTTGGCTTGTGCTGGAATTGCATTTTTTATGGCTATATTGTTAACATTTTTGATAAGATTAGCTGCAGGTTGTATAGTATGGGGAATGATATTGATTTATTTATTGATAGTAGCAGCAATAGGAACAGTTGCCTATTTACAATCTAAAGGCCATTATTAAGAATATAGAATTATAGATGATGCTTAATAATTAGAAATAATAGCATATGTATTTTGGAGTATAGGAGGATTATCATTATTAATAATTCTATGTTTGGCTAAAAAGATTTCATAAGCTATTCAAGTTTTAAAAACAGCTGCTGATTTTACAAGAGAAGAATGGTAAGCTCTTTTTGTTCCAGTATTTATTCTAATTTTAGTATTGGGATTCTTTGCTTATTGGTTAATATTCTCAGCTATAATATATTCAACTTCAAATGAGATTAATAAGAGTTAATATAGTCCTTATGTGGAATTATAATGGGATGCAAAGACAGGTTGGTAATTATGTCTTTACTTTTTTGGATTGATTTGGAATGTATGTTTTGCATTAGCACTTTGTTAATTTGTTATAAGTAGTTGTTGTTGTTTTTGGTATTACAGTCATTAAGGTTATCCATTAAATAGTAGTATTTTAAAAAGTTTTTGTCGTGGATTTACTACTAATTTTGGTAGTCTATTATTTGGTTCTTTAATTTTGGCTATTGTTTGGACAATTAAATTTATATTAGAGTTTTTCCATGTATTTATAAAAATTTAAATAAAATAGAAATAATTAAAAAATTCAGTTTAAGGTGACAATAATGCTTTAGGATATGCTTTAAGATGTGCTAAATATTATGTTTCATGTTTTGAGAAATTCATAAGATTTTTGAATTAAAATGCATATACAATGATGGCATTAACAGGATAGAGTTTTTGTAATTCTGCATACGATGCATTTTATCTTATCTTAAGAAATGCTACACGTGTAGCTATCACTCATGGATGTATGAATTATATCAATTATAAATGATAGTGGGTGAACTTTTTGAGTTTTTGGGTGCCATATTTATATCAGCCTCATCCTCTTTCATTTGTTACTTGATTATCACTAAGGCTGATGCTTATAAAAACAATATCTTCAATCCAATTGCTCCAACTTTAGTAAATCTTATATTCATAGTATTTTTTAGGCTTTCATATTGGTATCATATATGATTGGTAAGATGTTTATGAATCTATATGGAATGGGAGTTGATACTTTATTGTTATGTTTTATTGTTGATACTGAGATGAATAAAAATGAAGGTGGTGCTAAATCAGTTCCACATTCCCTTAAATAATATGCTTCAGAATTAAATTGAATTTTATAATCCATAATTATATTCACAAATTCAAATTTTCTATAAACTCAAAGGATCAATTGAGAATTCTATTTCAAAGGCAGTAAGCTTAAATGTCTCTTTATAAACTAAATGGAATCTTCGTTGTCTAATTGAGCATCATTTGTATGAATAAAGTGAATTCACATTAGATAATCACTCTCAAAGTATTAAAATAATGTTTATAGCAATTATTTGCACATTTATTTTACACAATCTACCCATTAAAACTAAATCCAAAAATATTCAAAAAATACCTTAATTTTATATGTAATAAATTAATCCTTTTGTCTTTTCATTATTCATTTTTATAATGGTTTAAACAAAAATATATTAACAAAATAATAATCACTATTTTTCTTTCTATTCAAGTTTCTCACTTAATTCTAATATCACATTATCTCTTAATTCAATTTCATCTTACAAATTACTAAATTATGCTTCTATAGCTGCTATTCGTTCTCTCAACTTAAAATAATCATTCAAATAATTTTACAATATCATTTTCATCAAAACAATGCTTCAATATCATTTTATGCATTTTTAGTTATTATATAAGTGTCTATTTATCCATGTTCTCTAATTATAACTCATCTAAAGAATTTTTCACATTATTAATTTCTGCGTTTGTAGGTAGAATTTACTTTTCTGCATTTCCACTCTTCTCTACTTTCTCCCCAAGTGTTGTAGATAATTTATCACCTTTGTTCACTTAGGTAACATTTGAAAATGGAATTCTTGTAGTAGCCATTTAATTATATTATAAATAATTATTTATTTGAAACCCGCGTTTTTTATTCAATAATGTCCCGCTAATTCATTTCCATTAATATTATACACAAGTAGCTATACTAATAAATTCAAAATAATCATAAAATAAAGAATAAATAATATTATCATTATTTAGGTAGTGAGTCCATCTCTTCTTAAAGAATATTTTACACACATTTTGGATATTCGTAATTCTTATATCCCCTAAATAATGGGGTATATTCTTTCTATTTGAATTATATCAATTTAATATATTTACTAAATATGCCAAGATATTTTTAGCCATTTGATCCTTTTTTATTGTAAATGACGGAATTATCAAATCTGGCATTGTTGGAACATTTTCCCTATTATAAACTCTCAATTTATGTTCTTCAGGATCCATCCTTCCATTTCCCTTTGATACCTTATTTTTTGATGTAATATTTAAAATAGGAGGCTTCTTTTTTAATTTCTCTTAATAGATTATGTGATATTACTGCAAATAATACTGGATTTTATCTTTTTTCATACATCCTTTAAAGCGTATGATCATAGATCTATTCTCTTTTTTTTACTGCCTCAGAATATGAAACCTTTTCACTTATTGATATTGGTTATTGATCTTAAACTCTTGGTTCCTCAGATAGTAGTTCTTATTAATCCTCTTCTTATTCTTATTCTTCATCTTGTTCTTATTAATCAACTATCTAAGGATTTGTCATAAAATCTAAGGCTTTTTTCTGATCTTCTTCATTTTCATTTAATTTCTGCATCTCTTATTGTTCTCGTAATAATTTCTCTTTTCTTTCCCTTTCCATCAATCTACGATAAGCCTTAATTTTCTTGTCAATCTATTTAATTGCTTCAGGTACAGGAATTGGTTTTGGAACATACTAAATAGAAGTTAATTGTTAATTAATTACAGGTTGAGCATAATGGATAGATGGTTAAGGAAGAGTGATCATCTCCTAAGTTGCCTTTGGTTTTCGACTTTCTTGATAAAAAAATGGGATTACAAAAACCGTTATGCATTTCTCATCTAAGGGGGATGTTCATTTTCTTCTTTATCATTTAGAAACCTTGCTTTTTAATTTTAAGATTTAGCTTTGTTTTCAAATTTATGTTTTTTTGTAATGAACTATTCTGACATTACTTAATTATTTTCAATATATAAAATAATTTCATTTTTTATTTTCATTGTTATTAAGAACAATAAATGAAAGTTTAGATTGTTAAATTGATTCTTATGATATATATATATAAGTTAATATTAATTATATAGATTCAAGTATTATTGTTACATAAAATATTATATTTATTCTTAAATTTATTTCTCACTTTGAATTCATTTAGAACAATTTCATATAATATTCTAAATTCAAGATATTATTTTATTGAATTATTATATTCTTTAGATTAAAGTTATATTTGATTATTCTTAATATAGAATTTGTAATATATTAATTTTTATTAATAATATATTATAATTGATAAGATTTTATAAATCCATAATTCTTTATCTTTCTTTTAGAACATATATTATTTCTTCAAATTTAGTAATTGTTGAACTTATTATATTTAATTATGCCTTTTTATTTAATATCAACTATTTAATAAAATCACAAATATTTTTAGAAAGGATTCCATCTAAAAGGATTCATTTAATCTTTTTAAGACTGTCTATTCATTTTAAAAATATATGCTTTTAGATTATTTATAGATATTCTTATATATATATATATATTTTAAGATATCTAAAAATATAATTTGAATAGTAAAATATACATTTGCTCTATATAAATACTATATTATTGCATAATAAAAATCATAAACTCATATTAATGAGCACCACCCTTATTTTTAATTTTATGGATCTTCTTCAACTTTTTTGAATTATTATTTTCTTGCATTTTCTTTTTATTGAATAATATCATTAATAAGACCAGTAAACATCTAATTGACATTAGATCCATTTTTGGCAGATGTCTCATAAAAGAGTGCTTTGAATTAAGCAGCTAACTATTTGCCTTCATCATAACTAATAACTCTTTCAAAACCTAAATCAGTTTTATTTCCAACAATAACTATTGAAGGTACATATTCTTGTTTCTCAAATAGCTATTAAAATAATAATAAAGTATTTTTGATATCTTCAAAACTTTCTAAAGAGTTCACTGCATAAGTAAATATCAATCCTTCTTTATCTTTCATCCATTAAGTTCTTAAAGATGTATATGCTTCTTAACCACAAGTATCAGAAATCTTAGTTGATAAATATATAATTTACTTCAATTTGACATTATTAATCACCCACAATTACTCTTTTTGTATATTTATCTAAAAGTGTGAGACTATAATCTTCAAAAAATTCATTATTAACCCATCGTGTTGTCAAATTAGATTTTCCAACAGAACCCATTCCTAACAATGAAATCCTATATTAAACTAATTATTTTGATTCGCCATAAGAATTTTAAAAATTAGAATTATAATTATTGAACTCCTCTCCCTAAATTAATAACACATTTTAGATATACACTAGATATGAAATAACTTGCTCCCATTTATATACTATTAATATCCATTATTTCGTTTCCTGATTGATCAAATATCCTAGAAGCTCTTAAATCTAATAATGATTATGTCCAAAACCTAAAACTGCTGAGCACATTTACAAAAACTTCCTACGATCAGTTTCCTTTCTTAAATAATGGACCTTCATTGATTTTCGTGCATCTGCATTATTGTATATCTGTATTGTAACATTATTGGTATTTATCATATAAATTATTATATTTTCTTTATAATTTTCATTATTCTAAAATACACAAATGTAGAAGTGAAACAACGCATTTTTCATATTGTATCATTCAAGAACAAGATAAAATAAAAATATTGAACTTCATTTAATAATATACATAATCATATAAGAATATAAAAGATCAACTTAGATTATTTCTATTATATTTAAATTTAATTTATAAGAAATTCTCAAAAATTATTAGATTGATGTAACTCTTTAATTTAAAATATAATATATATTCATATTTAAATATGATAATTAAATAAATACTACCATAAAATGAATAACTAATATTAGAAATATACTTTTTATTGTACTTTCATTAAAATATTTATTGTATTCAACATATTATATACTGTATCTATTTATAAAATATAATGAGTATCTATCTATTCTAAAAGATAATAATTTAAATTTTGACTTATAATATAGATATGAGATCAATAGTTTTATAGTATTTTAGATGAATAAAATAACGACTTATCTATTTCAAGTGATTAAAAAATTTACACAAATATACTTTTTATTAACTAATATTTTTATTCATTCTGGTAATTTGACAACTATATTCTTTATATTTCTAACTTATTTAATGGAGTTTATTCATATTAGGAGTGCATTTATAATTTCTTTTTTTATAATTTATTTATTATAATGTAACATATTAAATAAAATATATAATAAAAATTTTTTAATATTACTAATAGGTTGCTTCTACTAAAACTTAAGTTTTAGTTATACAGTTAATAGTTCATCATTTATAGAATCTTTTCTTGAAAGTAGAACAAACTAAAAATATCTTATATTATTAATATTATCGTTTTATATACATATTTACATAAATATCATATCTATATTATTAATATCTGTGTATATAATCTATTGTTATAAAATCTATTAAAAATATATAATCAAATAATGTTAAGAATTATTTTAATAAGTAAATAAGTAAATTTTTTATTTATTACTTTCTATCAAATGAAAGGGAAATCAATTTATGTAGTATAAGTAGAATAGATTATTTTATATTAAATATTAAATCGGCTTTGATTATAAAAATACTTCAATAAATTAAATTGATTTAATATTGTTAATGTAATATTAATAATTATATTTTAATTATTTCAATATTTAGGTTAAATCTAGATAAAAAAAAGAGCAAACTAGATAATTATTAAATATTTGCATTCTAAAATCATTCAGGTTGTTATTATAATAATCATTTTACGGGATTATAATACTTATATATTTTATTTGAATTACACATTTATTAATTTTGAAATGATTTATTTTCAGTAATCGTGTTTAGAAGAATAAATATAGGATACACAGAAGTATTAAGCATCCCTCTAAAGTCCTAAATAGTTGGAAGATATTTTAGAACGCATAAAGGAAGTATATTAGTAGATTATATAAAGTCTCGAGAAGAATTGATGGCTTCAATGCAAGAATTCATTATAATTTAACTGTCTTGTGATGATTAAGAACTTTATGAAGAGGTAAATTGATATGTAAACTTGTGTAGGTAATTTAAACCATCAAATTCTAATTCATCAAACTTGTAGATAAACCTCTATGGAATTACAAAGAATTTTTAGTTGAGCTCGAATTACAACTAGAAAGACACATAGGTATTTGTAGAGTTTAAAACTATGAATTTTTTTAGACGATTATATCGTGTTTAATTAAGTCAAATAATTGATTTCCAGTTTGAATGCCTAATACTCAAACAAGTTTAATTAATTAAGTTCTAGTTATTTAATGAGTATATAAAGTGAAAAGGCTCTACCTTAATCATAAATAAAGAGAATTTGTCATTATGTTGAAGGTAAATCTACACCTAATAATACAAGTATAAGAGTTGATACCAAATACACAGGATAGAGTAGAAGAAATAAACTAACATCTTTTATCATTTATCCAGTATAAACTTATTGTTTCATTTGATTAGTCATGATAGTCTAATACAATTGGATTCATGGTGTAATCCATTCTAATCTTCTTTTGGGATTACTTTAACAGATCAAGACATTTCATATAAGGCTAAAAAATTGAATATTGACATAATTTTGATTGATACTTTTGGAATCAATTAAAGCATATCACAAAAATTATATCTTCTATTACCAAATTATGAGACAATTTTACCTTAGTTATAATCATCTATCAATGTAAACAAGGGAAATTTATAGCAAGTAATGTTGAATTTATTTTTTATAGGCTTTGTCAAACATTTATGATGTATCCCTTGATATTGCTAGTTGGCCTAATATACTCACCTTAAAAGGGAAGGGTGTAGTATGTTGTAATTTTGATGGATTTTATACAAATGAATTTATCAACTTTTATTATGGAGAATTATATACTCCTCAAAGATGGTTTGAGAAGTAGACAGTTTTCAATAAAAGAATGTAAGATGGAAATAGAAAATCATGTTTTTAAAGTCCTTTTGCAGAATTTCACATCAATGATGATCTTTTAGTAAAAAAGTTAAAATATAAAAAAGTTTATTGATCCAACTAGATATGGAAATATTGCATTATACATATCATATTCTTGTGATCCAAATTGTAAATTGGTAACTGTTTAAATAAATTCTTAATATTAACTTGCTATTTTTACATTGAAAAAAATAAATTATTTAGAAGAATTAACACTTCCATTCCCATCAACATCTAATGACATTTGTTTGTGTGGATCTATTTATTGTAAAAGACTTTCCTAATTGGAAACATTCAATAATAGATTAACTCAAAATTACCCTAATTATATATAAAGAAATGCAATACTATTATAATCAACTATTATTGGAAAAATACATAATTACAATACAATTCCTTATTGGTTAAACAATTGGTAGAAATTAAATATAGGATAAGATAAAATTAATATTCTAACATGTGTTGATAAAGTTAAATATGCACTTAATACATTGAATGTCACAACTCCACCAATATATTTGGTTAATGATATTTATGAAATATTTTGGAAGAATTATGATAATAAAAACCCAAAAAATGAATTAAAATAATCAATTCTAAATGAAATCAAAACTCTATTTAATAGACATTCAGATCTAAAAGAATGTCAAGATGGATTAGAAATCATATAATTGATGAAATCTATAATTGAAAGTATAGATAAATATAAAATGTAATTAACTAGAATGATATTGCTTATTTTAAGTGAAATATTATTAAAGATGGAATTATCTCCATTTCATAATAAAGGTTTATCTACAATATTATATTTTATGTCATTCACTCATACATATTTCTCATCTACATAATATGAAGGATTTAATGGAAAACCTTTTGAAGAAAATGAATTTCAATATATTCCTTAACCAAAAAATAAATAGAAATTAGCATTATCTAAAATGTACACTCCATAATTTATATGGGGATAATTAATTAATTGGAATAAATAAACCCTTCAAAATCCTTAATCATCTATGGCTTAAGAAAGAAGAGGAGTTCTATGTTATCCTTCTTTAATATTGTCATTTGATAATAAACATAAATTATTTCCATATTAATGTAAAACAAGGGAATAATTTCTAGAATATTTTTAAACTAAAAAAGATATTTAACCTGATCTATCTATATGGTCATACAAAAATTAATATAAGTATTATTAATTATTTTATATTTAGTATTTATGGAACAATATTTTTTGAATAATATTTTTCATAATAAATTGTAGGAGAACATTTTATTTCTTAGATATCAAAATATGGTTTAGGATAATTTGAAAATAAGTTTTAATATTGGTTATAAATTGAAAATTGTTTCAATTAAGATAATCAAATGATAGAATACTTAAATTAAATATTTTAAAAGTAAATATATTATAAATATAAATAGATATTTTGTAAATATCGATAATTAATTAAGTAAATTTAATTCAAATTCTGAATTCACAGAATAAATAACCAAAAAAATAAAATAAAATAATCACTCAACCATTATTGATGAAACTTAATATGGATAATATTGATTTTTTTTTCGTTAATTTTTCAACAATAATAATATGTTTTATAATTAGTTTATTAAATGACTTCAAATTTATAATTTTAATTATATTATTATTATTACACTTATATTATAATTCATAGATCTACTGCATTAGTACTTAAATCCCATAACATTGTTTCTAATCCACATTCTCTCACTAATTTTGTTGATTTTGATAATTGATTTTTTTAATAATATCCAGATGGTACTAATTCTTCATATGGCTAAAACATTGTATACTCAGTTGTTCTTGAACCTTCCTCTTCATTTAATGAAAATTAAGACATTAGACCTATTACGACTATAGCAATTGCACTTAAAAAACGATTTGATCCATTTTTTGAATGATAAATTTCTGTTCTCACAAATCCAGGATGTATTGATACAGCTTTTATTCTTCTATTTTCCTTATCAAATTTCTATTATAAAGCTTAAGTGAATAAAATATTAGCAAATTTTGAAGTTGCATAAGTATTCATTCCCAAACTTAATTCTCCTTTTATTGCTTTCTAAAAATCAGGAATCTTTTTCACAAATTCATGAGCCCCACTTGATACATTAATTATTCTAGATTTATCACTCATTATATCTAAAAGTAAATTTGTTAAAAGAAAATGACCTAAGTGATTTGTGGCAAATGTTAATTCTTAATTCAAATTATTTTTTTATAAATTGATTATAAAAATACCAGCATTATTTATTAAGTAATCACATCTATTGAATCTTTATTTAAATTCTTTTACGAATTATCTAACAGAATCAAAATTTGGTAAATCCAAATTTATATAATGTAAATTATTATTCTTACTTATCTTAGATATTTCATCAATAATTATTTATGTTTTTTCTTTATTTCTACAAGCAAATATAACTGTTGCACCTCTTAAAGCCAACTTCTTAGCTGTCTCTTTACCAACACCAGCTGAAGAACCTGTTACAATTGCAATTTTGCCTGTCAAATCCACATTATAAGTTCTCTTAGGTCCTGCCTTATTCAATGAATAAACAAATCCAGCCAGAATGATTGCTATCAAGATTATCACTATAATAAAAAATATCATAATTAAATTTATTAATCACATATTGAATATAAGAAATTATATATAGTTGACAATATAACAAACCTATTAATGTATTTATTATTTGTAAAATAGTTTAATTATTATTGCTTTAAGTATTTATGATATTATTGAATATTTTATATATGATTGTATAGATTTTAATGATTGAAATTTAAAAATACTTTTTTCTTATTTCCTANTTATAATTAGTTTATTAAATGACTTCAAATTTATAATTTTAATTATATTATTATTATTACACTTATATTATAATTCATAGATCTACTGCATTAGTACTTAAATCCCATAACATTGTTTCTAATCCACATTCTCTCACTAATTTTGTTGATTTTGATAATTGATTTTTTTAATAATATCCAGATGGTACTAATTCTTCATATGGCTAAAACATTGTATACTCAGTTGTTCTTGAACCTTCCTCTTCATTTAATGAAAATTAAGACATTAGACCTATTACGACTATAGCAATTGCACTTAAAAAACGATTTGATCCATTTTTTGAATGATAAATTTCTGTTCTCACAAATCCAGGATGTATTGATACAGCTTTTATTCTTCTATTTTCCTTATCAAATTTCTATTATAAAGCTTAAGTGAATAAAATATTAGCAAATTTTGAAGTTGCATAAGTATTCATTCCCAAACTTAATTCTCCTTTTATTGCTTTCTAAAAATCAGGAATCTTTTTCACAAATTCATGAGCCCCACTTGATACATTAATTATTCTAGATTTATCACTCATTATATCTAAAAGTAAATTTGTTAAAAGAAAATGACCTAAGTGATTTGTGGCAAATGTTAATTCTTAATTCAAATTATTTTTTTATAAATTGATTATAAAAATACCAGCATTATTTATTAAGTAATCACATCTATTGAATCTTTATTTAAATTCTTTTACGAATTATCTAACAGAATCAAAATTTGGTAAATCCAAATTTATATAATGTAAATTATTATTCTTACTTATCTTAGATATTTCATCAATAATTATTTATGTTTTTTCTTTATTTCTACAAGCAAATATAACTGTTGCACCTCTTAAAGCCAACTTCTTAGCTGTCTCTTTACCAACACCAGCTGAAGAACCTGTTACAATTGCAATTTTGCCTGTCAAATCCACATTATAAGTTCTCTTAGGTCCTGCCTTATTCAATGAATAAACAAATCCAGCCAGAATGATTGCTATCAAGATTATCACTATAATAAAAAATATCATAATTAAATTTATTAATCACATATTGAATATAAGAAATTATATATAGTTGACAATATAACAAACCTATTAATGTATTTATTATTTGTAAAATAGTTTAATTATTATTGCTTTAAGTATTTATGATATTATTGAATATTTTATATATGATTGTATAGATTTTAATGATTGAAATTTAAAAATACTTTTTTCTTATTTCCTAAATATTAAGTATCCAATTTTATATAATTAATAATCCATCATAGTCATTAATAATAATCCATCAGATTTATTAATACTTGTTAAAGATAACAATGATTATATTTTTGATTAATAATATTATTGAATATATGATATTTAATATAAAAAGTAGAAAATAATTAAAAATAATAAAGTTGTCATCCTTTCCTAATATTATTGCATTTAAGTAGAATTTCTTCCCAAGCATCACTTGACTTTTTAGGTCTTCTTCTAAAATTGCTTTCTATCATTCTTTTTAATTCCTTTGATTTATTATTTGATGGAGTCTAAGAACTATAATCTGGATATTCTATCTAGATCTTATAGAGAATAGGTTTAGGTTATTCATGTTATATAAGATTCTTAGTTTGATTTTCTTTATCCTCGTCTTCTAATTACCATCTAGAGACAGTGAGTTCTTTTTCTTGAAAGAATTCGCTTTCCGTTGATTAATTAATCATTATTTAATTTATAGAGAATCAATAATCAAAATTAGTTATATAATTGTGTTCTTTCATACTTATAAAAATTATGATTGTCTTTTAAATCTTCCTTGTCTATTCTCTCTTTAGATTCACATATCTTATATTTATATCTACAAAAATTATGTTATTTCTTAAACTCTTTAAACTTAGATTAATCGAAATTACATCTATTTAAATTACAATAATATTTTAATTGTTTGCTAACCAAATACATTTATAAATAAATTTCTTAGATTTAATTCCTATCATGAGTACACATTAATTTAGATAATAAATCAACTGTATGATTTTGATATTCAATTAGATCTTTGATAATTAAATCAAAACAAAAACGAAGTTTCTAATTTCTCTATCCTTCAATTATTCTTAATCCCAAACATTAAATATTTTATATTACGAAACAATCTATAATTGGAGTATCACAAATTTAGTGCATACAAACTCTTTTTAAATATATATAATAGACTTGTAGAATCTATTAATATGTCAAAGGTTCTCTTAATTCTTAAAATTAGACTTTCTAGTCTGTTACACTCTTTCTATATTCTGGTTCATCCTTAAAATAGTTTTACTCTATTGTTTGTTTAGGTGTATTATTCCAACTAGGTGCCACATTCACACTTCTAGATATTGTCAAGTTTAATTCAGTAGGTAATCTCTCTAATACAAAACTAGTATTGAGAGTATTTGTTATCATATTTATGTTACAATCAGCAAATAATTCCTTTGGAAGTAAACATTATTGAATCATCTTATGAAAGACACTTAAAAGTCGAATTATTTATTCAGGTTGCAATATATTATTATCAAATGGTTTTGATAGTTCTTGGAATACTTTCTAAAAGCCTATAAAAATGCTATAGAAACTATACCAATATTTAAGATCTGTTCACTAGAACTCCCTATCTCATCATTTTTCTAGTTCATTATACGAATTAGAGTTGTTTTAATCATTTTTAATAAATAATAATTTTCAGGAAATGAATCTCCCTGTAATGGGATCTCTACTACCTAATCTATATTAAGGTATCTCAGAAGTATTAAATGATTAATGCTTTTTCTCTGAAGTTGGATTCCAATAATCAAAAGCAGAAGCCTTCTTTATTCTCTCTTAATTGGCCTAATCATAATAATATCTTAATCATCTACCTCATGATTAGTTATAATATCATATTTCTCTGGTTTTGGATGATATACTAATTATCTTTATGGTGGTTTAGGTTCTTATGCAATCAGTTAAGCAGTTTTATAATTTGGTTTGTCATCACCCATTACTATTTATGTGGCCATCAATGTGAGTTTATCTCTGATAGGTTTAGCCCTTGGAGGATTTTGATAGTCTTTATAACTCTTATATTCAGAATTAAAGTGAGTATCCTTTTTATAAGGTACATTAATATGATCGATATGTATTGTAGGTGGATGCATATTAGCACACTATAAAATGATTATAATATCTCTACATTCTCCCTTTTGACTATTTCTTAATTTGGTTTGTAATCTACTTCATATACAGTTTCATTAGATTATTGCCAAGGTTTCCATCCTATGTTATAGTGATGTTCTCTTTATTCCAAAGCTATTGGTGGAGCATACTTGCCTACTCCAACATTCAAATTCTCTGAAACCCCCTTAAATACACCTTTATACCCTTCAGTTTAAGGTCCTGGATCTCTATGAATTTTACGAACGCTCATAATATATTATATTTATCATAATATTTTATTATCTTTTTTTACTAATTCTCAAAGTATATTATAAGAAATATCATTCATTTTTTGTAAACTTTTGTATTAATATTGTATTTGAAATAAATGAACATTAAATATTAACTTCATAATTGATTCAAAAAATAAATACATCAATTTGTTATAAAATTAGATTACTGTTATTATCCTAATTCCATCTTTACCTTATCCATTATTGAGTCTATTATATCTTCATTATTTTCATCTTCCTGTTAGAAGTATTTAATTTTCTCTTTGTGTTGAATTTCCTTTAATTTTTCCAATTATTTCTTTTCCTTTAACTTTTAAAGTTATTTTTCTTATTTATGTTTTTCATAAAGAAAATCACTAAAACTCTTAATATTATCTAATAAATTACAATAATTGAATAGCTTTAATATGGAGAAAAGGCTTGAACAACTTTTGGATTCACTTTTAAAGGAATTCTTCGAAATTATTGATGATTTGATCTCATTTATTATTATGCTTTAGGTAATGAAATAATATCTTTAACATTTGGTTCTATAATCATTCTGGCATGAATCCTTTTAGTAGAATTCATATTAGGATTAGTAGCTATATGTAACGAAGGAAGAGAAGGTTATGCTTTTTCGTGCATAAATATATATATATTTGTAAATAATTAATTAAATAAATCACTTAACCTTATAAGAGTCCTTGTCTTTTTTCTTCTTTTCTTCATCTTTATCTTCTAATGGAATAACACATTTAATTAAACGATTATATCCATTAGAATTATCTGTCAAATATAAATTTGTTGGTTTTATTATTGAAAAACACATACCAGTTATTTCTGGACTTCCTGGAATTAAAATATTTTCTAAAAGTTAGCCTTAAGGATTTAAAACAGATATCAAACCCATATCTTATTAATTACCTACAGAGAATTCGAAACGAGCAACATAAAGAAAATCTGATTAAGAAATAACAAGTGCAGTAGGTCCAAATCTACCTGAGAATTGATGATAAACACTTAATAATATTAGAGAAATCATACCTAAATGCATAAATTCCTGAATTTGTAAGCACAAATCTAATGATACGATTTTCACATGTTTCACTAACAAATAAATTTTTCTCATCGTGACTTAAAGCTAATCCACTTGGATGAGCTAAACATCTATATGCTAGAGCAGTTGGCTTTATTTCCTAACCATCCAAATCAACCATAAAAACAGAGCCAATAGGATTTTCAACACTAGTTTCTCCAAAAGGACCTGAATCTGTAAAATAGATTGCATCTAATAATTTAAATATAATTTAAATTTACTTATATTGATATATGATATAATAATTTGATTAGGACCTAAGAAAGGCATTCCTTCATACTCAGTAACAAAATCTTTTGCTCCTTCTTAATTTTAATTAGTTGATTATAATTAGTTTAATTGTCTATATGTAATAGCTTAATGTGCCATATCAGCTATATAAATTACAATATGATCTCTTTCAATTGTTATAGATGATGGTTGTCCACCCATTCTTGTATCAATTCTTAGTTCATTATTCATTATCAAAATGTCTCCATTCTCAGATACCATATAGATGGATCCATTGACTTCATGTGGAGATGATAGAGGATTTGAAAAAGAACAAATTTTTTCTGCAGTTACTTACATATATAAATTAAATTATTAAATATATATTTAATTATTATATTGAATAAATAAATAAATGAAGTAGAATTCAATTAATAATCTCATTTAAATTATTTTATGGATATTAAACACTTGTTATTTAATGTAAGGCAGTAGGTCCATCATTAGATAATTATTTTTATCTGTTTTCTAATAAATTTAAATCTTCTGGATTCAATTATTATTCTACTTCTGATTTATAATCAACCACTTGCCAATCAATATCTGGTTCTCCTCTAAATATTTCTAATATCAAATAAACCAAATAAAGAAGAAATAATAATATGAGCAATACTGTTACAGCTATCAAAGATGACATTTCCTACTATTTTTATGTTTAACTATAAAACCAATATGTCAATCCACCTAAACCACCAAGAGTAATAATTAATTTTGATCCAAACAATAAGATATTGAAGAGATTTATCTTTAAAAATAGATCAATATATTTACAAATGTTTTTTATTTATAGATCTCTAATTATTAAATCTTATACTATATTCCACATTACATACAAATGAAATTCTCTTGACTAAATAAACCTGGAATGTTAAGTAATTTCTATTTAAAGCAAGATGCATGATAATTAATCTATTTTAATAAAATATTAATAGCATACATCACATAAACATGGTTAGATAAGGTTCAAATTATCTATATTTTCACAATTTTAGCATTATATTATAATATTATCATCTCTAATTCTAGTTTGTTAATTGATAGATGATTTTCTTAGAGTTCTTGTAAAGTTTTATTTAGTTGGAGTTAAATTGTTAATTGAATTACTCATACTATTAGATATCATTATTTATTGGTTGTTTTCAGAATCTAGATTTCTAGATGAATCATGTTTAAATTGTTGTATTTAATTGGAGAAGTTGCTTTTTGGAGTGAAGATTTTGATTTAAGACTCAGATCTATTATTGGTAATCATTTATTTTATTATTGCTTTTGATGTCTAAAAATTGCCATTTTTCACTTAAAATTTGAAAATATTATATTAAATAATATATACATTGATAATAAATCAAATAAATACATTATTAATATATAATTCTAAGAATTATATGATGATTTAATTGTTTATTTAATGAATTAAATGGAATTAAGATTATTATGGATGAATAGATTATTTATGATCACAATTTTGATTCATATATTTAGTAGATAGAATATTTTAGGTTTTGTGAAGATTTTTTAATGTTTTTTAGAAGTCTTTTAAATTAAAATACTTATAATATATATTGGGATAATATAAATAAATAATTAGAATAAATTATTTTTTCTATATGTTCTAGAATATTCAATATATATATATTTAAGAAAAGTTTAAAACAAATTAATAATATTTATTTTTTCACACGTCACAAATTATGAAAACAATAATCCTTGTCGTACTTCTACTTGGAGCATGGGCATAAGAAAAGACAAACAAAGTTGAATGCCCTGTCATTGGTATTGATTTAGGTACAACATATTCTTGTGTTGGAATTTATAAAAATGGAAATGTAGAAATCATTCCAAACGAATAAGGAAACAGAATTACACCTTCAGTTGTAGCATTTACTGATGAAGAACGTCTCATAGGAGAGGCAGCTAAAAACTAGGCAGCCATCAACCCTGCTAGAACACTTTATGATGTCAAAAGATTGATTGGAAGAAAGTAAGAATTTTATCTTATTGTATTATAGATATACAGATTCAACAGTTCAATATGATAAAAAGTTTATGCCATATGAAATTGTTGATAAAGACACTAAACCATACATTAAAGTCACTAACATTAAAGGTCATTAATCTAAGATCTTTGCCCCTGAAGAAATTTCTGCTATGGTTTTAACTAAAATGAAGGAAATCTCTGAAACATATTTAGGAAAGAAAGTTATTAATGCAGTTGTCACAGTTCCAGCCTATTTCAATGATGCTTAAAGATAAGCTACTAAAGATGCAGGAACTATTTCAGGATTGAATGTTGTTAGAATTCTTAATGAACCAACAGCAGCAGCCATAGCTTATGGTCTTGATAAGAAAGATGGAGAAAAGAATATCTTAGTCTTTGATTTAGGAGGTGGTACTTTTGATGTTTCAATCTTAACTATTGATAATGGTGTCTTTGAAGTTGTTGCTACATCAGGAGATACTCATTTGGGAGGAGAAGATTTTGATTAAAGAATTATTGATCATTTCATTAAGGTCATTAAGAAGAAACATAATAAAGATATCAGTGCTGATAAAAGAGCTATTCAAAAATTAAAGAGAGAAGTTGAAAAATCTAAGAGAGCACTCTCTGCTACTCATGAAACTAAAATCGAAATTGAAGATTTAGTTGATGGTTTAGATTTTAATGAAGTACTCACTAGAGCTAAATTTGAAGAATTGAACAATGATCTCTTTAAAAAGACAACTGGTCCTATGTAAACTGCTTTGGAAGACTCTAAATTCAAAAAGACTGAAATTCATGAAATCGTTTTGGTTGGAGGATCAAGCAGAATTCCAAAAATTAGATAAATTGTTAAAGATTTCTTTAATGGAAAGGAAGCTAACACTGGTATCAATCCAGATGAAGCTGTTTGTTATGGTGCTGCCATCTAAGGTGGTATTATTTGTGGTGAAGAATCTAATGAAACCAAAGGTTTANGGAAAAGACAAACAAAGTTGAATGCCCTGTCATTGGTATTGATTTAGGTACAACATATTCTTGTGTTGGAATTTATAAAAATGGAAATGTAGAAATCATTCCAAACGAATAAGGAAACAGAATTACACCTTCAGTTGTAGCATTTACTGATGAAGAACGTCTCATAGGAGAGGCAGCTAAAAACTAGGCAGCCATCAACCCTGCTAGAACACTTTATGATGTCAAAAGATTGATTGGAAGAAAGTAAGAATTTTATCTTATTGTATTATAGATATACAGATTCAACAGTTCAATATGATAAAAAGTTTATGCCATATGAAATTGTTGATAAAGACACTAAACCATACATTAAAGTCACTAACATTAAAGGTCATTAATCTAAGATCTTTGCCCCTGAAGAAATTTCTGCTATGGTTTTAACTAAAATGAAGGAAATCTCTGAAACATATTTAGGAAAGAAAGTTATTAATGCAGTTGTCACAGTTCCAGCCTATTTCAATGATGCTTAAAGATAAGCTACTAAAGATGCAGGAACTATTTCAGGATTGAATGTTGTTAGAATTCTTAATGAACCAACAGCAGCAGCCATAGCTTATGGTCTTGATAAGAAAGATGGAGAAAAGAATATCTTAGTCTTTGATTTAGGAGGTGGTACTTTTGATGTTTCAATCTTAACTATTGATAATGGTGTCTTTGAAGTTGTTGCTACATCAGGAGATACTCATTTGGGAGGAGAAGATTTTGATTAAAGAATTATTGATCATTTCATTAAGGTCATTAAGAAGAAACATAATAAAGATATCAGTGCTGATAAAAGAGCTATTCAAAAATTAAAGAGAGAAGTTGAAAAATCTAAGAGAGCTCTCTCTGCTACTCATGAAACTAAAATCGAAATTGAAGATTTAGTTGATGGTTTAGATTTTAATGAAGTACTCACTAGAGCAAAATTTGAAGAATTGAACAATGATCTCTTTAAAAAGACAACTGGTCCTATGTAAACTGCTTTGGAAGACTCTAAATTCAAAAAGACTGAAATTCATGAAATCGTTTTGGTTGGAGGATCAAGCAGAATTCCAAAAATTAGATAAATTGTTAAAGATTTCTTTAATGGAAAGGAAGCTAACACTGGTATCAATCCAGATGAAGCTGTTTGTTATGGTGCTGCCATCTAAGGTGGTATTATTTGTGGTGAAGAATCTAATGAAACCAAAGGTTTAATTGTTATTGATGCAACTCCTTTGAGTTTGGGTATTGAAACTGTTGGAGGAGTCATGACTAAAATTATTCCAAAAGGATCATATATTCCAACCAAAAAATCTTAAGTCTTCACAACCTATTAAGATCAATAATAAACAGTCACAATTTCAGTTTTTGAAGGTGAAAGACCACTTGTCAAAGATAATCACAAATTAGGAACTTTTGATTTAACAGGTATTCCACCAGCTCCTAGAGGAACACCTTAAATTGAAGTTACTTTTGAAATTGATGCCAATGGTATCCTTTAAGTTGCTGCCTAAGATAAAGGAACAGGAAATAAAAATTAAATTGTTATTACTAACGATTCAGGTAGATTATCAAAGGAAGAAATCGATAAGATGTTAAGAGAAGCTGAAGAGTTTGCTGAATAAGATAAAGCTGCTAAGGAAAGAATTGATTCTAAGAATTCTTTGGAAAGTTATATTTATTCAATGAAAAATCAAATTGAAGTATAATTTTATATTTATATTGTTAGGATCCAGAGAAATTGGCTAACAAATTATCTGATGATGAAAAAGATACTATTAAGGATGCATTAAAAGATAGTTAAGATTGGTTAGATAAGAATCAAAATGCTGAAAAAGAAGATTATGAAGAAGAACTTAAAGAATTGGAAAAGTATATATAATAAATTAAATATTTAGAATCTGTAATCCTATCATTAAGAAAGTTTACTAGTAATCTGGAAGTTAATAATAAGCATCAGATGACGATTATGATTCCGATTTATGATATCTGTATATTTCTGTGTGTTTTGAATTAATTATTCAATTAAACTTAAATGTCTTTAAATTGTTAAATAAAATACAATTTTTTTATATTATTTAATGTTAATCATTAAATATTAATAAAAAAACTCACATGTAATAAGGAAACCTTATATGAGCATAGTTCTGTGAATAAAAGTTTGGTTTATACAAATTGTATTACTAAATGTATTAATATGGTTGATATAAAGGAAGTGGATACTAGGCTAAAGAATTATGATGATGAAGTTAATATGAAGGATTTTAATAGACATTGTTTAATTAAGGAAGAATTTAAATTTGGTTTTGAAAAGTAGATGGAACTAAAAATACTGGATGGTTTACATTAAAATTATAATATTTTTTGAGTTTCTGGTGCTTATTCGAATATTTAAGTTTGTTCTTTAATTCTTAAATTATTCTCTAACTTGATATCTTCTCTAATTAATCCATTTTTTTATGTTTCTTTTGTTGTAATTAATTTAAGGTAATAATCATCAATCAAGTTTTATATTTATTAATTTGGATTTTATATAATATGTATAAGTAATTCCCTTTCTTCTTCATTTGTAATCTATAATAAATAAAGCATAAATTTACTTTTTCTTTTTTTAAGTTTCTCATAATTCCATTATATTAGTTCTTAATTTAGTTTTCACTTCTACCTTTTATATGGTGTTATATTAATGACCATCTTTTTCCATATTTATACACTAATTCTATTAAATTCATTTTTTCTTTTGAATCCCATGAACATTTTTAGATAGTTGGATTCAATACATTCTTCCATCTCTCTCTAATCTGTTTAGGATATCTTTATGTTCTAGAAAGTGAATTAAATTTAATTGTCAACTCTGTCCAATTATTTTTATCATAAAATTATCTTAAACATTATAAAAATATGATTTACTCTGCTATATCTTATAGAATTTGATCTTCCTCTCTTGTCCATTGATGAATTCTAAGATTAGAATGTAACAATGAAATCCATTTAAGTTTTATTAATTATGTATCAACTTGTAACACTTCTGAAATTATATCCCAATCTTTATCATTCTACCAATAAACAGTAAATTTACAGGAACTAGATTTGCTCTTTGTTATACTTATAGCAATTTTGCTACACACCAAATTAATAATTATTTATCCATTTAATGCCATTTTTTTCTATTTTTTGAATTAGTCACACTATATTTCAATTAAATTATCATTTACTTTGAAAATACATTTTCATAATAATCAATTAAGAAATCATCTGTAGGAAACTTAGTTAATTTTATTTTGACATATTAGCCAATCTTCTCATAATCAAGTGGATTTGCATTCCTTGTGTAATCTAAGAATTTCTGCCATTCTGAAGATCCTCCTTCTCTCTATTACATCATAAAATTTAAATATTATATAAAAGATTCAAGTCTTATATTCTCATTAAAAAATATCAATTGTTTCAATAAGATTTGCAATTTGTTCTAAATAATTACATTTATTTGAATTATATGATTTTAAGCTTTACATCTCTATTATAGTATCCAATGTTTAGAATGATGTTGTATTTAACTTGAATTAGTAGTTTATCACTTTAATAAGTAATTTTTCTGAAAAAGAATTCCATAATTGTTAACCATCCATAAGCTTAATTCTAAGAATTTAAACTAATACTAATTATTCGTAATGTATTCATCTACTCTAAATTAGCAATTTTTCTATATGTCCTTAATCAAAGTTATATAATTATTCTGTTTTTATGTTTTGCAAGCATCCACATCCTTAACATAAAATGATCAATATAATTGTTAGAAAACTTTAAACAATACATTGAAATATTCTTTAATAAGAAGAGTTTCCTATTCGATTACTTACTTTTGTGGGAATTAAGACTTTGAAATATAAATAAAATTAAATAGCAATCTTCATCATTAATCAATCTAAATCAATCTCAACAACAAATTAATATCCAAGATTATTTATTTAAAAACCAACAATATTTATTGAGATACGAACTTAAAAATAAAAAATTACTATGAACAGTAAATATTATTGTTTAGATTGTCACACATTTAGAAAGATTAAGAGAAACTGATTATATTTGATATCATTGGAAGATTGGATATGATAATTTAAAATCAAGAGATAATAAATCAACATTTAAGAATTTCTCATAATCATAAGATTAAATCAGACAAAAATTTTAGAAAAAATAATTATAATATTATATATTAATAAAAAGGTTAATATTTATATTCTCATTTATATATCTAAATCACATATCTTAATCAATTATATACATTTATTTATATTTAAATATGCTCATTTAACTAAATCAACAATAAATTTCCAATATTTATATTTTTTTTACTGAAGTTTAATTATTTTAATTTTTAAAAGCATGTAATATAAATAAAAGTGAATGAAAAATTAATGAACATATTGTGATGGGTTTCCATTATATATAAATTTTATTTTTAATGTTTACTTAGAACATCATACGTATTTTTAATTGAAATATTTTGATAGTATATATATTTTATAATTTATCTTGCCTAATAAGTTGTGATTCTCCATTGATAACAATTATATATAAAAATCTTAAAACCTATAAATATATTTTTACTAAAATCCTATTAAATAACAGAACTTAAATTTTGAAAAAGAATAAAGATATTCTATTAATTTATTTACTGACGAATTTCTATTTTTATGATAATGGTTTTATTAATATAGTTTATTTTATTTGAAAGAATTAAGCATTAATGACTGAATATTATATATATTAATCTTTTAAAATATTAAAATGATAACATCTTTCTTCTCAGATAAATAATGTTAATTCAAAGAATATTTAAAATTTATAGATTTTAAAAATCTGTTTAGAATTTATTGAAACATGTGAATTATAAAAATGATTTTGTTTTCTAACAAATATTAATTAAATTTATTAAAGGCGCCAATATTATGAGCGAATAATAGAGAGGATTGGAAGAATTAGCGATGCAAAAGAGATAAGCCTAATAATAAAAGAATCCACCCCAAAAGAAGGAAAAAAAAGAAGAAAATCTTGATAATTTTATAGAATAAGACATTGAGGATGAAGAATATTATGCAAATGATGATTCCTATGAAGAAGAAGATATTAAAAAATAACCTGATAATTAACAATAGATCACTTAATTTATGGGGAAGAATAGAAAGAAAAAATAGACTGGTATAAAGTTAAGTGATGATGTGGATGATATAGAGTAGGTAATTCAATAAGTAAAAGTTGAAAAAGTAAGTTTGAATTAAGTTGTGACAAACAGTGATGAGCTATATAAAGCTTAATTCAATTAACCTCTTAAGCCAAAATAAAAATAAGAATTTAAAGAGGAAGATCTTGATGAAATTGTGAGCCTTTTGGAGAGTTAAAGAGAAAGAGAAAAGCAACTAAAAATGGAATAATAATAGGTTAAAGCAGTGCAATAAAAATAATTACCAATTCATAGATAAGTGGAATTAAAAGTAGAGATTCCATAAATGAAGAATGAATAATCAACAATTAGCATAAACTAAATAATTAAAGGAGAAAGAGATATTATGGATATTGTTGAAAAAAATGGTTCAATATTATTGTATTGGATTGATATTTATGAAGATTAAATGAGATTTCCAGGAAGTTTATTTGTATTTGGTAAAGTAAAGAACTAAAAACTTAATGTTTATGATTCATGTTCATTGTATTTTGAAGATTATCGCAAAACAATATATTTATCATATGAAAATGGAAAATATTCAGAATAATAATTAATATAAGAATTATAAGCTTTAATGAAAAAGTAATTAGGATTAGGATAAAAAGATTATACTTATTAATTTGTTGATAGATAATATGCATTTGAAATAGCTGACATTTCAACAAATTAATAATAATATTTAGAAGTTTCATATACTCTTAAACATGGATCATAAATGCCAGTTAGAATTGATAATCCCATATTTAAATATGCATTATAATCAACTTAGACATTAGTAGAATAATTTCTGATATATAATAAAGTAAGAGGACCATGTTGGCTCTAATTAAAATCATGTTAGACTCTTGATACAAAGGAATTTCATTTGAAAACATGTCATGCTCTTTAATTACCTTAAAATGGATTTTAAGTTTATGATGGTGAATTGCCTCTTCCAAATTTAAAATTATTAAGTTTTAATATAACATAATGTAAAGTGGATAAGGAAGATTAAATTATTGCAATTTCATATACAGTTTAGAATAACATAGATTTGAATGATGCTGAAGTACCTGAGTAGGTTGTTTATTAAACTCTTGCTAGAATGCCTTCTGATGCTCCTTTACCTCCTGGTTATATCAAAGGATAAAATAAATAAGTTAAAGATTTTGAATCAGAATATTCAATGTTATCATTCTTTTTATAATAAGTAGAATAAATAGATCCTGATGGTTTAATTGGTCATGAAATATCAAAAAAAAGTATTGATTAACTTTTTGCTCGTATTGCTAAATTAAAGGTTAATGAATGGAATAGGATGAGTAGATTATAAAAGAGAGAATAGATACCTAAAAGTTTATTTTAAAGAAGCAAATATATTACTATAGGAAGATTAGTAATTGATTTATGGGTTTAAGCTAAAGATATGATTAAAAGTAATGATTATAGTATGACTTATTTGGCTAAAGAATTTTTGAAATAGGATTATTAACAATTAGAATCTGATGTAACTAAGAATTATACTGAAAATGCTTAAAGTTATTAATCTTTATTATAATTGAGTTTAAAGGAGACTAAGTATGTAATATAGATTACATAAAAGTTAAATATAATTTCATTAACTCGATAATTAACAAATATTTGTGGAAATGTTTGGAATAGATCTTTACTCAATTAGAGAGCAGAAAGAAATGAAATGTTATTAATGCATGAATTTTTTTCAAGAGGATTTCTATTACCAGATAAAATGAGTAAGATTAATTTATCAGATGAAGAAAGAGATCAATAGTAAAAAGAATAGGAAACTAAAAAGACATATGGTGGTGGATTAGTATTTGAACCAAAAGCAGATATATATACTTAATTTGTTTTACTTTTAGATTTCAATTCATTATATCCTTCTATTATTATGGAATATAATATTTGTTTTACTACTGTTTAAAGAGATAAAATTAGTTTTGAAGTTGATAAAACTTAAATAGAAGAAGAAACAATTTAAACTAAATCTTAGAAATCTAAAAAGAATAAGAAGAAGAATAATAAAATTGAAGAAGAGAATGATTAAACAGAAAATCAAAAAGATTATATAGGTTAAGTTGATCCAGATGCAGGAAGTGGAATCTTACCTTAAATAATTGAGAAATTAGTTAATATGAGAAAATAAGCTAAAAAAGAGATGAGTAGATCTACTGGATTAATGAAATAGATTTATAATATTAAATAATTGGCAGTTAAATTGGTTGCTAATTCAATTTATGGATGTTTGGGATTTAGTAGTTCTAGATTTTATGCAATTGGAATAGCATCATTAATTACTTAGAAAGGTAGATAAATACTTATGGATTCAAAGAATACAGTAGAAAGAAGTAATGATGTAATATATGGTGATACAGATTCAATGATGATTTGTGCTAGATAGGAGAAGAATTTATAAGAGATATTAATATTAGGTAATCAAATTGCTAAAGAAATAAATAAGAAATATAAAAAATTAGTATTAGCTATTGATGGTGTATTTGAAACACTTTTATTAATGAAAAAGAAAAAATATGCAGGAATTAAAATTGATAATCTTGAAGAATTAATGACAGGATAAACTGAAAAACCAATATTTAAAAGAGAAATTAAAGGTATTGATCTTGTAAGAAGAGAATATTCTGATATTTCTAAAAAAATATAAACTCATGTTTTAGATATACTATTGAAAACTAAAAATAGAGATGAAATACATGGAGATTTAATTACTTTAATGTAAGAAATAAGATAAGTATTTGATATTTTAAGTGGTAAATCAAATTAAGATTTAAAATAATTATTTGCATAAAATAAGTTTATTAATTATGAAATACAAACTTCAGATTTTATTATAGTAAAATAATTAAATAAAGCTCCTCATGAATATGCTGATACTATTAGTGCTCCTCATGTTTAAGTAGCTTTACGTATGGTAAATGAATATGGAAGATCATCCTAAAGTTTAGTCAATCATTTTATTAGATTTGTGATTTGTGATGATCCAACTTAGAAGAATTTATCATATAGAGCTTATACTGTAGATGAATTATTGAGTAAGAATTTAACCATTGATTATCATTATTATCTCTCAACTTAAATATTTGATCCCATAAATCGTCTATGTAAAAATATTTAAGTTGTTTCTATTTCAGAATTAGCTCAAATTTTAGGAATATAACATAAACACAAAGAGTAAAATTATATTACTATTTAATTAGCAAAGTGAATACTGAATTTTTCGATTTTAAGATAGAAGAAGAATAAAAAAAAGAATTGGAACTTCTAGAAAAACTTGAATTCAAATGTCCAGTTTGTAAGGAAATTTAGAAATATTCAGAATATTTTGATCCATAAAAACTATTTGTTAAATAATTGAATTGTCAAACTAATAAATGTTCCTATAGTCTTGAAAATTTTAAATCAATTTCCAATTAAACTAAACTAATGATAAAAAAGGATCTTTGTAACTAATATTATAAAGGATATGTTTATTGCAAGGATAAAAAAAATATTCATACAAATTTTTGTAGAAAAGGAGTTTGTTTTGGAGATTGTTGTGATAAGCAAAAAAAAATAAGTCAATATATTGATGAGGAAACAATCAATATTTAAGTTAATCTATTAACATAGTTTTTAAATAAAGTCTTATCAGAAATTAATAAATAAACAACAGCCATATAGTAAAACAAAACAAGAGTATATTAAATATAAGAGGAATTATAATTCAAATAACCATTTTGCTTTATTAGATTAAATGATATATTTAGAAAA